ATATTTTAAAACTTAAAACATGCTGACCCCCCCCCCCCTAAAAAACAAAGAAACATTAACAGTTTTGGCTCTGACATGATTACAAAATGTATTATATGTGCATTGAAAATATCATGGTTTGCCATAATTTTGACATAATTTTTTAGCGTTTGCATTTAATAGACCTTAGGAGGGGAGGGGAAGCATAAAGCCAAAAAATGACTACAGAAAAGGCTGCAGGAAGGAGGGAAATCTATTCTGCTAAAGATAGTAAATAAAAGCAAAGCTGTGGAGTACTCACTCGATAAACGCCCTTATAAGATAGGAAAAGAGGATTTGAATCTAGGCGGTTTGAACTCTTTGAAAACTAAGTTGGATTTAAAATATCTTTCATATCTTATAGACCAGGAAAGCTTTACACCCGAAGCCAGTCTGTGCTTATGAAAACAAAGGAAACTTTGATTTTTGCTTAAATTTGTGTTGGATTTTGGTATTTTACAGAGCAAAATATGCATATTTAAAAGTTAAAAAAACAAAAAAACTATTTATTTATTTGTTCATCATTTATTTTAATTTATATATCAGCATTTTCACAAATTTAACTTTTTTGATTTGCTGAACAAAAACTGTCACTGCTCAGTCTTTGTACTAATTGCTGTGTTGTCTTTCCGTCTCCTGTTATAATTGGATAAATCCAGTAAATATCTTATACAATAGTGACTTCAGACTTTAAATAAAACAAGTCATTGTTAATGACACGGTCCCCGTCCCAAATTTTGTGATCTGACATATCAGTTTGATACTGATGAAGTCATTGAGATTAGATTGAAACCATTAATAGGAGATGGATTTGTAAAAAAATATGATTTAGTGCTTTTACACAAGAATTGGACATTGGGCAGTCATATTGATTCAAATTACAAAAAACAAGTAGCGTATACAACAGATTGTTTATTTACATCAAAACACGTGTTCAGTGTAGTAGTAATATGGTCAAAAATAAAAACAGCCGTTATTTGGCCATCTTTGATCTGATTATGAAACACACTGATATGTATGATGTATGTGCCAAATACGAATGAAAATGGTACATAAATTGTGGAAATATAGTAGTAAGGCCAAAAAGTCAGATTGCTGTCAATCGGCCATCCTTGACCAGATTTTGAAACAAATTGTATGGACATGCATCCTAACATGTATAAAGTACATGTATGTGCCAAATTTATGAAAACTGACAGAGCATCCAAGATACCGCATAAAAAAACAAAAACAAGATGGCTGCCAGTCGGCCATTTTGAATCGAATCGCTAAACCACTGCATGTGCATATGTCCAACATAAAGTACTAGGCACATACAAAGAATGAACAGAATCGGTCCAAGGGATTCTGAGATATGACTCCGAACGGACGCACGGAGACCGAATTACAAGTCCCCGTTTTTGGACTTTGTTCAAACGGGGACTAACAAAAGTCAAGATTTTAACATAATTAGGGTAGTCACACTATTCTCACAAACTTGTGGGGTTACAATACTTGCACAAACCTGAGGAGTTTCTTTTTCTGTTTTGTAGTCAGTGATTTCAAAAATGTGACTTCTGGGTCCTCTTCATCATCACTCCCAAGTAGTTGCTACAAAGACAATATGCAAGACAATATTTCAGTAAAAAAGAATAATTAAGTAGTATTTTTAGACACAAAAGTACCTACATGGTTAATAAGTGACATAGAACCTACTTTATTAATAACCAACATAGGACCTAACCAATTAATGACTGACATAGGAACTACCTGATTAATAACCAACATAGGACCTAACCAATTAATGACTGACATAGGATCTGCCTGATTAATAACTGACATAGGACCTACCTGATTAATAACTGATAAAGGACTTGCCTGATTAACAGCTGACATAGGACTTACCTGATTAGTAGCTGCTAGATCTACTCTTCTGCCAAGTACACTCTGTTTCAGTTTCAGCCCTTCTTTTTCCATATCACTCATTAGTTCAGCTGGATTGGAAGAAGGACCCGCTAGGTCGTAGGTAGCAGATTTGTTGAATAATGGACACTGTAAATCAAATTTAGACAGATGTACTCTACTGCAGTTTATCCCAAATAACCTTGGTAAATGTTGGATTTCTTTTTACTTAACCCAACACATGGAATATACCTCAATCACTGGTACACATTTATCATTCATTTGACAGTGTAAACAATTTTCTGTTTGAAATGTTATCTTCTGTAACTTTTCATAATTTTTGCTCATGTGTGATTTGTTCACCTATCTAGGCAAAAAATTTGTTTGGACTTAGTTTTCAACTGTTTATGACATATTTTCACTATCAGCACTTGTTTTCTCTTGTATGAGCTAAATTATGTCGGCATGTTCATGCATTCATGATCACTGACGTCACATTCAAACACTTCTATTTGTTTACCATGAATTCAGAAGCGCTATAGTGCATCTGAGTAAAATAGAATGTTGTCACTAAACACAGCGCAAATTGTTTTTTAGTTGCAATTTCAGGCTATAATCTCATTAAATTATTACTATGTGTCATTTGATACAATCGCCGCTCTCCCTTCTTGCATAATTTGCAGTATTCTCTCCACTGTTAACTTGAGACTGGCTTTCAAAATATGTTCATCGAAAAAATGCATTACAAACAAAAACTTATGAAGTACCTCTTTGTCAGTGTTTACGTGGCCCCATTTATGACACTTGATACATTTCACATTTCGAACTTGGATACCAAATGGTTGATCACGGATGTCCAATTCTTTTGCATAGGCTTGTCTCGGAGCTCCTCTCTGCCATTCAAACTTATATTCAGGTTCGTCATCTTCTCTTACTTTGTCTTTCTTCACTCCTTTTGGCGGCTCATACATAAAATTCAATCCATGTTTTACTTTTTCATCACTCAGTAGTAGTCTTTGGATAGAAAAATATTTGTGTTTGCATTGGTGGATACCGTAAAGCAGCCATAAAATGTTGAAAAAATCAAATCCAATACGATGCTAAAGACACTGGGAACATACGATTCATAGCGTACAAGTGTGTGATAGAGCAGTAAAGCAATAACTAGCTCTTTCAGAAAAATTATTCGCCATCTAACTAATTTCACACACATTTCATAACCTCTCGTACACAAAATGACATTGAAAACACAGAAAATACTAACATTATCCATTTTGAACATAAAGTATACATTGTATGAGAGCTGAACTACATTTTACCGATTTTTGTACAAGTCTTGTTCTTTTTCGTATTCTCTTTTTAATTCCTCCTGTTGTTTAGTTTCATGCTCAATTTTCTGCTCTCTCATCCATACCTGTTGATGTACAGAAAGATGGCAATATTGTGATTATAAACTTTTTAACACTATTAACACAAATGACAGACGTTGATCTAGTCTTTCATGTACATATTGGTAGTATCTTTGGCCTCAGATATATCATCCCTAAAGTCACTGTTCCAGTCATATGTTCACTGCTACTCATTTTTGTGATTTTTCAGCCTGGACTATGCTAAGAGTGATTGGACAGAAACAAACACCGTATTACTGATTTTGAAGGTTTCAGACGATGATTAAATTTAATAATTTGTGCTTCCATTACGTTACCAAACTGTTTTAATTCTATAATTTCTATTATTTTGAGCAACAATAAGGCCCTGGACTAGATCATAGTGGTAATCAGAACAAAGTTATAGACCCATAGACATGTTACTACTGAATTCATCAATCAACCACACGAATAGATTGTCAGGCCTCGTGGTTCTACCGCCAAACATTTAAGTAAGCCAGGATACGCACAATTGATAAGTCAATCTCTAGTAAAGATTACATGCAAGTATTGAGTTGAGGTCGAACTAGCCCTGTGAACAACATACATTTTATACGGCTACGGTCGGACACGTTTATTTTTACATGTAAGAAATTCGAGAATAGTGTTCGTCAAAACTCACCCGTTTTACGTTAGCATATGAAGCAGGATGAAAATCCTTTTTACACATAAAATTTGCGAATGACTTTCCCATTTTCGATATCCACAAAAAATAAATGCAGATATAGTAGACTTAAATGTTACGTAGGAAAATTTGTGAACAACTTCACAACACTACGCCATTTTGAATTTCTGTTTTCCTCCCAGAGCATCATGGGAGTTGTAGCAATCAGCTGACTGTCACCTGACATATTTTTAAAAATATACATTATACTAGTAACCTTTAAACTTGCGGACAAACTTTGTTGCTCTACGAAACGGCTCTTCTCACGGAATGTGAACCTTCCATGACCCGATGTCGACGATAAGAATAACCACAGCTTGGACAAAGATCACACGTTTTACTTTTCCCCGTTTTCCGGTTTTCAGGTACTTCTGTACATATTTATGCAAATCAATTCAGTAATTGAGTTCAGTCGAAGGATGATTCGGTGCACCACAGTTACTATAAGTAACCATGGGTACACATTGGTGTTCTGAGGGTCATTCCATTTTTTTCACCCCCCCCCTACCTTTATGACACCCTATGGATTCAAATCCACCATTCAGGTGTCGGATTTTTGTTAACTAACACATCCCTTGGAAACTTTACTGATTTGACGTATACGGATGGGTATGTGAAAAAATTAAATATATCAAAAATATGTGACCTCTCGAAATTAAACCATCCATATTTTTTGTAGAAATATGACCCCTCGGATTTAAACATCCGTAGGGGGTGGACCAAAACTTGAGTGACCCTCTGTGGCTCGTTCAATCATGGAGCTACCTCCATGGTTCAATCAAGTCCATTGACCCATGAAGTTTGAACCGTAAATCTGGGTTAAATAGAGTATATCCAGGTGTTTCTTTATAGATGTTATTGTTGGAGAAAACATATATGATAAAATGACTGAATTGAAATATATTTCTATTTTGGCACATAAAAAAGCTGTTCTGTGACAGAGTTACAGTAATTGTATTGTCTGAATGTATGGATTTCAGATTTAAGATGAGTCAAAGTGAACCAACTGATGCAGGACCAGATCATCTACAAAGAACATCACACAACACAAGAAACCCTGTGAGTATTCAGTACTAGTATATTATTCTTGTTGCAAGAACTTTATTACAGCTTTGAAACTATGACAAATGAAGGTTCAATACTCTTGGTGCAACAAAGACATTCTCTTCATCTTTATAAATATTTATAAATTTCAATGCCAGTTGAATCAAACTAGCCAATCAACAAGAACAGTCCACCACAACGTCGTCTGCAAATGTTCCAATGTTTTTTCAGCCAACAGAAACCTCTCGTTTCAGTTAGAATTTTAAATTTTTAGTTTTTTAGTAAATTCACATGTGTATTTTCTAAAAACATGTGAAAAGCATAAAACACTGTTATCTGAAAATAAAATGCTACTGTCAGTTCATAAACTAAAACCTAAGTCTGAATTCTCGAAATTGATCCATAGAAATGCAGGCCTAAATTCTGCATCATTATATTATCGTTTCTTTCACATTCCAGACTGTGACATCAGCTGTAGTGACCAGTATACGACAGGAATCAGAAACCGTGAAAGGCCTAACACTCAAAATAGAGGACAAAGACTTTACCTTCAAAGCTGGTCAATGGTAAGTATCATCTGTACAGCATCCATAGTTTATATGCATTTATAAATTGCTTTGTGTGAACTTTGACACTACACAGCATCATTTCGACATTCTTTGAAATCTTTTGTTAAGTGGGAGGGATGTCACCTGCGCACACGCAGAATTGAGTCCCAAGCGATGTTAACAACACACCTTAAAAATGCAAAGGCTCATGGGTAGATGCTTGTTTGTAAACAATGACACGCTATGGCCATCTGACGCATGCGCAGGTGACAATCAGTTTTCCAAAATCAATGAAAATTGTTTATTATAATATTTAAAGAATTGTCCTTTTTTTCATTTTTTATAAAATTCTGCCAAAAAACAACAAACTGTAACATGCACATTTTTAACTGATAGGCATATCTAGGCCTAATAAATAAAATTAATAAGATATTTCCAGAAGTATAAATAACTTGTATAAATAAGTTTTACATAAAGAACAATTTGAAACATTCCTCAAAATTGTTATCATTGTGAGAAGTTGTGACCTGTGACCTTTGACATATTCACAGGGTTGACTTCTTCATTCCGGGTGTTGACGTATTCACAGGGTATTCAATGTGCTCTTCCGCCAAAAAACTGAAAGACGAAAACCTCATGGATTTAGCTATTAAATATAGCGACTACCCTCCCACTGAATGGGTTCACAAAGAGGTAATACAATTTGTTTTTTGTATGCTTTCCCAGGGTGGATTTTTTCATTCCTGCTGTTAGTGTAGTGGGAGGCTACTCAATGTATTCAACACCTCAGACATTAAGAAAGCACAAGTTGATAGAGCTGGCTGTTATGTACAGTGAACACCCTCCTGCCTATTGGGTGCACACTCTGGTATGCTTTCTGTTTTACCCTATTCACCCCCTGTGTATTTCATATACAAATGAACTGCTACAATGTACAAATTTCTGAATTGATGTCAAAACTCAATTTAAACACTGTAAAGGGAGCTAGTCATTCTAATTGCATCTTTTAAGATAGAATCTCAGATTATTAAAACAAACAATCAATTTATTACAATGTATCTGGTACTGTAAAATACTTTATTTTTACTGGAATTAATTTTCGCTTAAAAGTCTTTTTTGGTGTTTTGTATAGAATTTATTTTCACTGATTTTTGACTAGCTGAATGTAAAATATAGGAAAAACGGTATATTTGCTGGTTTTTATTTTCACTGAATCATACCTTCAGCGAAAATAAATTCCAAGCGAAAATAAAGTATTTTACAGTATACATAAATGTTTCATTTTGGGTTTCCTTCTAACGTGTAATCACTGCCCTCATATTCAGTCACAGTCTTTAATATTTATACTTTTGTTTTTTCAACATGTATTTTTTTAGTGTCAAGAAGGTAGTGAAGTATCCATTCGAGCAGGGGGTGATTTTTATTATGACCCACAGCCGACTGACTCCACCACAGATGTCTTACTTATAGCAGGTGGTGTAGGGATCAATCCCTTGTATTCTATGTTCTTGCATAACGCAGATCTACACCAAAGAATGAAAGAAAACAGTGATTCATACAAACCAGGGAAGACTACACTTTTATTTAGTGCAAGTAATCACAGTGAACTCATCTTTAAGGTTTGTACATTAAGTCATAATAAACTAGTGCGCCCTGCCCTCTATTGGCAAAAAAATATTTTGACATATTTGTTTTTTTCGTTGTGCTTTTTAATTATTTGTAAATTCTTACTCTGACAGAAATCCATTTTAGAACTCTGCAAGAAAACACCTAATATGAACTGTCAATTTTTTGTTACTAAAGAAAAGCACAAAGATAATTTTGGATCAGAAACTTCAGGTATGTGAATAAAACAATACAAAGAGTTGGGTTAGGAGTATGAGGGTGGGGTGGGGTGAGTTGGGCAGTGTTCAAATGTCTTACCACAAGTCTTTTTTCTTAGTATAGTTAGAATCATTTAACTGATCCATAGTTAATTTTGTATATACATATTCATTATTTCAGGTACATTTGGAATGAATTCATTTATAATGTTGATCAAAAACTGTTGGTACTGGTATTTCAGGGGGGGGTACAAATTGACGATCTATGAGAATTTCTCAATCACCCCCCTCCCCTCGAAAATTGCAAACAGTTGTCACTGAAATTCAAACAAAAAAATTTTTGAAACTGAGATTTTCTCAGGAACGAACATTTGGGCATTTTCTCTGCCTGGCAACCACAACCATTAAAAACAATGGTTGAAAATTCTCAAAAAAAAAAACAGTACTTTGGAATTGTTGTTGAGACTCTCTTGGACAGGGTAACCAGGGTACCCTTACATGTGCAACATTTATAAATGTAGGTGTCTCTCATAGTTGGATTTGTGCTGTTTACACCAGCTCTTTGACTGGCGTTCCACAGCAGCTCGCACAGAGCCCATAGAAATACACATGGAAAAGTGGTGCACATCTCAGCAACATAGAACATTCAGTGGCGTTGCTGCGACCACAAGAATATAATTTGAAATTTTGACCTTCAGGTGGTCATGCATGTGGCATTTGACAATATATTAGTATCAGATATTTTCAATATGTGTTATTTTTTTTTTTTTGTAGTTGGACGTATCAATAAATCTGTACTGAAAATGGCCCTTGAAGAAATGAAGATTGACAAAGTAAAAATTTACATCTGTGGACCAGCTTCGATGATTGGTGACATAGAATCAATATTGCATTCTCTCGGTGTGAATCCCAAACAGATTGCATATGAAAAATGGTGGTGATCTCTAGCAATACGACCAGAAAATTGTTTTGCATCCAGTATAGCAATAAAACTTCTACATATTTTCTTACAATGCTTTGTAAATAAAACTGTATATGTTACATGGTTGAGTATTACTTATTTTATTTTATGTTTATTGGTCCCCCAACATCTGTCTGACCTGTCATCATCATAGGCATCTAAAAATAAAATCACATGTAATTCATTGCTTGTTTTTATTTCTGCTATCTTGTTTTTGTTCAAACCAAGAGAAAATAGAAAAAGTTTTTGGGCATATTTTTATTTTCAAATAGCATATTTAAAATATTTTATGAATTTAAGATTTTTCAAAAATTCTGACATAAAAAAAAGCTTTGCTGCAGAGCATATACAAGAAACGTATTGTGTGGAAAAGATGCATTTTGGTTACCATGGAAATGATCACAATTTTCATGATGTATGATGATGAGGCTTTATAGTTGCCTGTATGCGGTGATTGGAATATGCAAATGATCACATCTGACCAACATATATCACATGCTATTTGCATGAGGACAACGAACAAAATAGCTTTGTTATTGGTCAGCACGAAACGCTGACCAGCACTGTTTTAGTTTCTGTAAAAATGTAGAAGGGATTACTCTGTACCTCTGTATTATGGGATGTACTTCAGTAGCATTTTGTCCTTTGATCAGATGACAACCAATGGACTTTTAGGAATTTATAAAATCACACGTATTAATATATTGTTTTGGGGCATTTAAAATGCACTCTTCTTCGAAAAACTTGTCATACACATATTCTGACCCTCAGAATTTTGATTGGTCAATTAGTTTGGTAGCCATCTTGATTGAATTTAAATTGGAAGTGACCATTTTTAATCCTTTCTGAGGAGGCATTCTGAGTTTTGTTGTAGCTTTTTTGGATATTGACATGTACCTATTTCACATGTAAAAATTATAGTGATATTGTGGCTTAAACATATTCTTCAAATCCTCTGAGCACATTGATGTAAGAGTTGTTTTTCACCATCTCTGTGTAAGCATGTTAAAGTTTATGTGGTTTGGACGCCATATTTAATTTCTTCTAAAAAGTGAGTTGTTTTTACTGCTATCCTATTTCTTCGAAATTTAACTTGCACAACTGAACTTGACGCTTGTTTGTAAACAATGACATGCTAGGACCATCTGATCATGGACGTACTATGATCTGATGCATGCTCAGATAACGAATCCCCACTTTAAGGAAAACTAAAATAATTTTGCATGTTTTGGCCACCATTTCGGATTGAAAGCTGATCCTTAAAGTCAAGTCCAAGGGACATTTCTAAGTATGAAGCAGAAGAATCATAATCAATAGTTTGCTTAAAGCGAGAGAGTCGTCACCTGCTCATGCGTCAGATGGCCATAGCGTGTCATTGCTTACAACAAGCGTCTACCCATGAGCCTTTGCGTTTTCAGCGTGTGCTGTTATCGTCGCTTGGGACTCAATTCCCGCGCTTGCGCAGGTAATGACCTCCTCGCTTTAACAATTTCAACCGGATATGTCATTGGAATGTGACCACTAAATTATAATTGTAGAATAATATATTCGAATGTGAAATTAAAGAACTTTGTGTATAATCAACTTGCGTAAAAATTCAAATTCATACTCTATTATAATAAAAAAAATCTATTGAAACCGTATCCTAGTGTGGGATTTTTATTGGAAATACAATAAAGTAACAAAAACAAGCAAACAAGACAATCACAAACATTTGAATGAAAATAAAAACAAAAATATATATGTGCAAATCGATTCGTTGTTAGTTCATTATTACCAGGGTTGCTATCATCTAGTATTTTAAGATTATTCACGGCTAATATCGGAGTTGTGTACCGGATTAGATTACCGCGTGGTACAGATCAAATACTGCATAATATATATCAGAGTTGCTCATATCGTAATCTGTTTACAATCCGTTAGTGTGGCCGCATTTCCCAAGATGCAGCTTGACAATGCCTCGATTATGAAGCTCTAGGAGGTTTTGCATTTCCCATCCCATATTGTGGGCGCATACAAACACTTCATCAAATCCAGAATCACCAGTGTAATGATAAGGTAATGCATTTCCATCTATGTCTGTGTTAAACGGCCAGAATCCAAACAGATGAATCTCCTCGCAAAGTGGCAATCCCATAGTTAACAAAAGCAATCCTGAGAAAAATAAAATAAATGAAACACGATCAAATGAAACACATATGGAATGTATATAAAATTGCAACGAATCAGATTTCTCACCTGATGAAACAATTTTCTCAACCTTCCAAAATCTTCTCACTAAACCAAGATAGTCTCTATTGAGAAGCAGCAGATCTAGTGAGGTGTTCTTTTTTATGTGATTCATGGCAGGAACAGTGAAATTTGGCGTTGAAGTAAATAGTATATGACCTTCATATTCCTCCAAGGCTTCACTGAATGCACTCATACTATAATTGAATCTAGAGCATAGGCGGGTAACGTTACTAACATTATGAAACTATACAGAGTCGAATTATAATTACTATTTTAATCATATACTAGTACCTGTAGTATATTAATGTGCTAAAACAATAACAAAGTCTCTCCAAACCATATCCAAATTATTAGCCGAGATCCAGACAGCAAAGGTCCTAGTCCAATGATACTTATACAATGGTACTCACACATAAACACATAACATGTCAAACGAGAAAAATGAAGTTTTGGCATACAAACGGGAAGTTATCACAGTTGATATATATTAAACGTATATTTCATAAAGTTCTTTGAAAAGTACTAGTATACGTCAGATTAACGTTACAACGACTTCTTTATTATTTAAGTTGAAACATCGCTAACTTTTTATTACCTGTTGTAAATTATACTTGGATTGAACGTAGTTAGATTCATACTCCTCCCTGCATCATGTGTAAAATTACGAATCACTGGAAGATTAGCTCTAGGAAAGAAGTACAACCACATTATATCCGATACACTTACTAAGTTGCCACGGCAGCTGCGAATTACGAGAGTTTGCGGTGATAGCGAGTATTAACGATAATGAACTCCCCAATCAAAAGCAATGACATTTGAAATACATTCATTTTATGAATGAAAATATTGACATGGAGTACCTCAAAATAAGATCAGACTTATCGATTTCATCTCCACATCCACTGTCCTTCAGTATACCACCATTACCCACAATGCTACAGCGCCTGTAAGTACTTCTTTCGGTAGGCGATTTGTTCTGCATAGACAGTATACACATTTTAATGGAGCGAATGATGCTCCAGATTCTTGGTATTGTGTGCTACGATTTACAATGCACAAAATTACCATGTGGTGATTATATATTTACACTACGTGAATACCACGTAGTATATCGCAAAGACGCACATACGTACCAGAAACATCTTCTGAGAACTGAGGCTTGCATTCGAACTTAGATAAAACTGTGTACTATTTGGCATAAAGCCATTTAACTTATTTCTGTAAGAAACGACGAGGTACTATGAATGCGTTTAAAAATGTGCAAGTGACACTAAGCGGTAAGTGAAAATAAACAAAAGTATGAATCAATTTTTTCGATTCTCACCTCAAGTCATACAGATGTATTTTATTGGATTTCCAGTTATTTATATCATTTACCGTGTTTTTCATTTGCCCAAGAGTGGTCTTATTTGCTGCAAATGTCGACTGATTTGTACTAAATTACAAAAAAAAAAACATTAATAAACTAACAAAAATATAGAAATTTACATTTACAGTAGAATTCATTAAAAGAGTTTGTTTCTTAATTTTCGAAATTGGACAATGTCTATTTACCCGTCAAACATTATGGCATCAATGGCAAACAACATAGTAACATAATACAGTTGCTTCTGCTACAGGCGAAGCGATGTGTGTCACAACTGCTTATATTGTCTACAACTATATTGACGTTTAGGGTACGCACCTTATATTGTGAAAACCTAGGTAACTACGTTTACATCGCTGGTAAGCTCTTTTTGTATCTGCATCTTCCTTTTCAAGATCACTCATCTTTGCATTGTTATGCCCTTTTTTCCTATGCAGGAAACAAACAAACGCGCCGTTTACTTTACCCACGCTTACATTCTATCTATTGTTGTCTTTGTGATATGGACGAACTTTTCATAACAGACCTGCTGCGAAATTGAAAATCTAAAAAAATGGAAGCATATTTCATTTTCGGGTTGAACACTTTGCGTTTTATTGCTGTGATGAAAATCAAATAAACGAATGACCGCCAAATGCACATATGGGGCTAGTTGGCTGTTCCTCAAATGATAATGGTGTGTGTGAAATTGTAGCTCTGCTTTGTCTAGAGATACATTGTTGCAATATTTAGTTGTTGTTGTTTTTACTGATAAGCAATACCATCGATGTATAGCAAGAGATGCTGTATTGTTCGAGTTAGGGACATCGAGTTACGAAAACATACATTTTGGTTTTTGTTGAACGTCCACATTCAGTAACTCGAACTTTAAATAACAGTTGTGTCATGAATTAGTTTATGCGTATCTGTTGACCGACTTAATTAGCTGATTATTAGCGAATTTCTGTGTTATGTCTGTCATCGTTTAGGCCTATTTGAAGTTTTGGACGGAACTTGGCTCAGTGGTTTGGAACTAATTACGGGATAACCGTCGCTATTCTGACTACTCTTTCTGACAGTTGGTATTCGTAGTTATTAATGTAGTGAACGATTAATCAAAAGATATGACGTATTCAGTACTTAGTGTGATTGGCTTTATGATTGAAGGTTACGCCCTAGAGTCTTTTTACTGTTTTGTAATTGGTTAGAGTTTTGAAAATGAATAAAGAGAGTTTTGAGTTGGTTTTGGCAAGTACTCTACATAGACGCAGTCGAGAGTGCAGTCCTGGAGAGCCTTGGGGCGAGTGTTGACGCAGTCTAAGAGAGTCTTGGGTCAGCCTTGCGATAGTCTTGGGGATTTTTCCCCAGGGCGCTGTGTCTTATAGAGTGCTCGATTGACCGACTAAGACGAGAGCTGAAACGTATTTCGTTGTGTGTGTCTTATTTGACTGTAAAGTTAAAGTGACTTCCCCGATCCCGCACCTCGAGGGGACGAGATATAGAGACGAGACGAGATTCCCCCCTGACACGTGTGGAGAACCCAGAGGGAGAAGAGATTTACCGCCTGATATAATACCGCATTCTTCAATTATTACGCATTACGTACGTAGTATAGGTGTACGAAGACGCCACCAACGGCAGTAGTAATTAGGAGAGGCGTGAAGAAAGACTGTAACCCACAAATGAAGTACTAGTACTTGTTTTTCTGGGAACAAGGGAGAGGTGGCACCTGGCTGGGAATATCGTCAACCACGATAGAATGCACTAGAAGTCGGGTTTCAAGTCTATATTTCAAATATATTTAAACCCCCCCCCGTTTGACACGCCACCCGCTTACCGGCTTTATTTTATGATACTTTGTCGTAAACTGGATTTAAGCTAAATTGGAGGTAAACGCAATATTAAGCGCCCATGTAACATCAAAATCAGCACCCCCATCGGATTAATATGAATATTGGATTATTGACAACCCAGATTTGTGGTAAGCATGGTCATTGCAACTTTTGGCTGTAGTCTCTGGGCGCAAATGTAGAATTTGAGCAACATTACAAATCTAGGCTGGGAAAAAATTGAACGTTAAACAAAACAAACAATTTATGTTGCCGGTTACTAGAATTTCTGTTAACAGATAATTAGAGTTAGAGTTATGGGCGTGGTTCAAGTTGCAAAAGTGGGTAGGTTTTTTTAAAATACGGGCGTGGACATTTTTATAACTCAATGTTTACGTAACTCGATGTTCGCAACTCGATATCCGTAAGTCGAACAATTACTTTTTTTCGGAGTGAGACACTTTATTATATCAAATATCCTCGGTACTCATTGTAAAATATTATGCATCAACGATACTTACATGAATAACGCATCATAACATCCAACGAACTCTGAATGAAATATATATACTTATTTTTTTACAATGTTTGTATTAATATTCAAGTTTGCTTAGTTCAACATTCGTATCATAAATCAACGCTCCACAGAATAGAATTAATGATTAACCCCAATAATAGTGATATGTATTGTAACTTTGTTGATACTGTGTCTGTGAAGTTATATTAGTATATACCTATTTATCAATCGAAGTCCCCTCTAGCATGGCTTTATTGAAGGTCATTTTATTTTATTTTATTTATTTTTAAGGTAGGCTTCTAAATTCAATTTCAAGTTTCTGTTGAATAAGATAAGCTGTAAGTAAAAAAATCAGTGTGACTAGTTACTAATTATATGCCAGTCTTATGTTATATTTTGTCGAGAATAATGTCAGTTCAAATATCCAGTACGTTTCGGTCGTGTTATGCCAACTTGAAGTTATTCATTGCCTACATCAGTGACTTCAAAATCTATGTTCTAATCCCAGGAATTTCACTTGCTATTAATTGCATGGGAGTGCCAGTCTTTTATTTTCTATTGTAATGCCAATTTCATGCGATTGCTCGGAACATGAAGCTGTAACCACAGACCGTCTAGGTACTGTAACTAAATCCTGGTATAAGCACTGGTTAGGCAGGCTTGAACCATGCATGTGAAGCCAGCTGAGAGGTATATCCAATCCTATAGATTTCTCATTGTTTGGTAACTATTTGCTGCAAATGCAACAAAAATCAATATAAAAATATTACCCACACAGCATTCTACAGGTTACTTGTTATATAAAGTCATGTAGCTATTGTCTCATGACACCACAAAATAGCATTCTTTTATGTGTTATAGTGACGTGTTTTGGGAGACTCAAAAATGATCTATTTAGAACAATTCCATAGAGCATGTTGAAGAAATATAACATTTTTGTCACTTTTTAAAACCCAGATTTTTGAAATAATTAAGGACAACAAAAAGTACCCTCCCTGTCTATCATATAAGTTGGTGGCAATGTCAGCTGGAGTTGTTACAATGTAACGATAACGACGACACTGACATATAATTTCCTAACACACGTATTTACCCCAATATCTAAAACACCTACATTTTTAACCAAACGCACCTGGTTTTTTCCGAAACAATTTCAGAAGTGAATCAGTTATGACAACTGCCGCTCTTTTCGTTACAACAACACAACACAACACAACACAACTCAGCAAAGGTTATAAAACATAGTTAATAATTGTTTTGATTTTTTCTGGCTTTATTGCCTTGCAATATACAATGCTCTGTGTGGTTTGTTTTAGATCGCCAGCGGCACAAGCAATTCGACGTGTAGTGTTCTATGTTCTTCGCGTAATTAGGTGTTTGTATGCAAGGGATTTTTCCACACAAAAACGTCGAATTCGGCCGAATTTTGTTATCGGTTGGTTAATATAACCCCAACGGACCGTATTTTTGTGAAAGATTGGTATTTTTGTCCTGATTTGTGGGAATCTGAAAAACGCGTTTCACAACTTGTCTCTTATTTAGTTTTATGCGTCATTCAAGATGGCGGCCCCCATATAGTAAATATCGTATTTATTTTATTATCACGTGTGCGCCAGCTGACTGTGAAAAACACCAACATCGAAATTTGCTCTAAATTTAAAAGCGGGGGAGTCGTCACCTGAGCATGCGTCAGATGGCCATAGCGTGTCATTGTTTACAAACAAGCGTCTACCCATGAGCCTTTGTGTTATCATGTGCTGTTATCATCGCTTGGAACTCAATTCCCACGCGTGCGCAGGTGACGACTCTCCCGCTTTAACAAGGCTTCCGCGTAATACAATAAAAACAGTATTAGAAATGGGGTTTGACATGATAGCAAACACAAAATATTAATAATGCTCCGTCAATTTAAAATATGCCAGTGAAACGTTTGCTACTCCTATGTTCAAAATTACTTAATGGTATGTGAATACTATCATAGCAGGAGCGGATTTAGAGGGGTGCCGAGGGGGCCGCCCCCTATTTTTAACCCCCCGCAAGGCTTCGCGCCATCGTCGCTCGCGAACTAGACCTTCGGCCAACTTATCGCCCCCCCCTATTCCAGAATCCTAGATCCGCCCCTGCATAGTTCATATATCCTGGCACAGGATAAATTTATTAAAATATTAGCAGACTATTGTAAAACCTGGAATCTTGATGTGAATGTTAAGAAAACTAAAGTGATGATATTCAACACAAGTAACAGAGTACTGAAAAACCAAACTTTTATTATAGATGGTAAAAACATAACACCAGTCAAGGAGTTCTGTTATTTGGGTATGATATTCACTCCGAATGGAAAATTTAAAACAAATCATTGTATGCTAAAAAATAAAGCAATAAAGACATTATTTGCCATTAGACAAACTATACTGAGTCATAAAATGATTTCAACTTCATTGTGTTTAAAATTATTTGATCAGAAATTTGCTTCCTTAAAACATAGACAGTACTACTATACTGTCTATGCTTAAAATAACATATTAAAATATGCATTAAAGCTCAGACTAGTAATACAATTACAAGTATACAAAATAATTCTAGTACTGGTACCTGGGATACTCAAATAAAAACAATTTTTGGAGAAAATAACTTGTCTAAAATAAAAGAAACTTACAAGGTCAACAATATTAATCAACTAACCAATGTTGTAAAAACAAAGCTAACAAATAAATTTATTCAATCATGGAGAAAACAATTAAATAAAAAAGAGGGGAACAAACTTAGAAGATACAGTATTTTTAACAAAAATTTGAATTGGAAAATTATCTAAATGGAATTGAATTGGGAAGAAAGAGTAAACCAAAAACCCCAGAAAATGAAAGAACTTGCAAAAAATGCAATTCAGATCAAATTGATTATTATAATAATAATAATAATAATAATAATAATAATAATAATAATAATAATAATAATAATAATAATAATAATAATAATAATAATAATAATAAAATACACGAGTTTCAAAGTTGCTGTTTACTATCAGTCATGTACAGCATTTCACAACGAGGCTCCTCATCATCCCTCATTTGCATACATGAATTCCTCTTGTAGAATGAACATTTGTCACCCTGCAAAAGGACTGCTATGATGGTATGTTTCTTTTCGTGTTTTTCCAGGAATTCGAATGCTTCATCGAAATCAGGTGTTTTCGTTGTAACTGAAAACACAAGTTATCAATGTTTCAGAATTATACAAGAGGCAGAAATTAGTGTTGGCGAGTAATAAAAAAATCTTATGTTCCAGTCATCGTGAGCATAAAAGTTAAAAATTTTAGCGTCAACAAAAAAAAATTCATGAAAAGTCAAAGTAAAACTTAAATTTTAAAATTAAAATAAAATAAAATAAACCGCATGCCTGCATCGATTTTGGAAACCAATTGACCAGAAACCATTCCCATGAATTGAATTCATATCGGGAATTCAGGTCAGTCGGGTGCAGAGATTCAATGAAAATGTACGTGCCAATTTCGTCGTCTCATACTGCGCAATTAGTTTTTTTAGCTCCACAATCATATAATCAAAACACCAGCTGTACGGCTTTGGGGTGTGTCGATTTTCTGGTCTATGATTGGCTCGTGTATTAAAGCAAATTTGCATAATATTACGTGTTTAAACGTCAACTGAAACCGTTCGTCTTATTGATCGCCGTTATGTATGCATTTGATATACTTTATCGCCGCTTTATATATAACCAACACTGATTTGTTTTTGTCAAAATGCAATTTAGTTGTCGCAATGTGAAAATCGGATGATTTTACCAAGTACCCTGTTTTATGGGACGCACCAACGTTTTTTTAACTGATGAAATGCATTGTGGGAATCAAAACTAGATACGTGGTATAAGCTTCGCCATTTTGAACAACAACAAGGTAAGTGGTGTGATGGTCTCGCCTAAGCCTTTTTATTTACTTTTATTCTTCACATGTTAATCGAAATAAGTATGTCAAAGAGTGTACTGCTACTGAACTGCCAAACGCTTTATATATTATGTAATAGAACCTTGACAAGGGGTGTTGCTTATGGATATTTTGTGAAATATCCTCCCGACTACAAGGGATCGAGAGTCTGAAGACAGAGCTGTGGAAAATTCCAGACTAACTCTCACTGCGCTGGTGATTGTTCTGAAAACCTTTCCATTTAAATAAATGCAGTGTTAACGGTCGTCAATGTTTCTCCGTTTCACCATTTGTCTCCATTTGAAAATTGTTTCCAGGTTTACTGAATAGTAAATAATAATAGAACCAGAACGCGGAATTGTTTATCTTTCGGCGAAGGAAATGAAACGAAACTCAAAGTCTCTTTCATTCATACGTAGCGGATCATCGTTTCAAAATGAGTACGTCATATGTCGTACGTTTTGTTTTGATGCATAGAATTGACCTCGCTTGAAATCATTTTTTGTGTGTTCACAACTGAGATTTGTAAATTAACACACCAAATACGTATTTACTTCCCATAGAGGTTATCACCTCGTACCATAATATAACGACCAGCTGTTGTTGGCTGGCAGACACAGACTATATATATATATATATAAAGGACATTGTCCCTGATTTACGTTGTTGACACGTTTAATTGCGGTGAATTACTATTGTTGGGCTGTAGACTGTATTAAGATGGACGTACAACAGCTGATTCATTTCGTTTGATGCTGTGTAGGATGCAGCACCCCCAGGGGGTGATCCCTTGAAAATGCAAATAACGTTTCAACCCATGATACCTGCTGAAAGCCTCTGTGGTTAACCACAATGAATGGGAGAAAACCATGTCAGCAGACAATGTATTATTTGGTGTTAATGAGACTGAAGATCACACACAAGTAAAATAGGTGTTGCTTGAAAGTAATAATTTTTAATATTAACTGAACATAAAACTTAATTACAGGCAATTTAAATGCTTTGTCTTCCAGGATTTGTGTAGATCAGAGTACAAACTTTTTTTGTCTCGCCAAATTTTATTATTAAAAAACATCTGCTTTTCGAGTTTCTTGGCATCTTGGTATAGAAATATCATTGTACCAGCTACTTCATTGTAAACAGACAGATTTGAAAACATTGAAGGATGCCTCAGCCCTGTTTTTAATGAACCTCTATGGTATAAATGCTACTGAATTTCTCACACAAATTTACTCACAAAACGTTTACCAGTTTAATACAGACACAGTCCCTCTATCCCGAGGGACTGTCATACGGATTACAGTAAGTTACATACTGATTGACTTGACTAATTTTTGTATTAATCATGAATGCCTCAGTTTTGAGAGCATCCTGGAAGTAGCTTATGAAGCTGTGCCTTTTCACATTCAGGGTGCTAGCTGGCTGTCTGTTTAGGTATATAGAGGAAGTCTTCAAAGGAGATTTCATTTTTTTCTCTGCTTGTAAACAGTTTATTTACTGTTATTGTTGCATAACAGTGATTGACAAAAGTTTATTCAAAGGACTGTGTTCAAAGGAGACTACATTTTTTTCTCTGCTTGTAAACAGTGTATTTACTGTTATTGTTGCATAACAGTGATTGACAAGAGTTTATTCAAAGGACTGTGTTCAAAGGAGACTACATTTTTTTCTCTGCTTGTAAACATTTTATTTACTATGAGAAGAGTTTATTCAAAGGTGACTTCTATTTGTTCTTCTCTGCCCTTGAATCTAACCATGTTTTCAAAAAAAACTTGACCAATGTTCAAGTAATCATTATAAATTAGGCATACAATCGGTAATATGATAATCATAAATCTCTGAAAAAAGACATTATGATCGCGTCGCCGTGTGTTCTAGGTATATTATATAACCAGAATGAGGGTTTAAAATATCTTTTGAAAGGTAATTAGTCCCAGTTTGTACGTAGTCCGAAAACGGGGACTTGTGGTTTGTATGGACCGATTAAGTTCAAACTTCACTCACACATCACACATTATATGGGACATATGCACATGCATTTTTTTCATGATCCGATTATCGATAGCCGAAAAGCGGCCATTTTAAGGCCGAAAATGCATCAAAGCCGCACATTTTCACCATTCCGGACCCGGGTCTCAGTCATGCATGGACGGATTTTGTTCAAATTTGGTACATACATTAAACATAATAGTACCTTGATGCACGTCATTTTTTTTCCCGCATCAAGTTCGAAATGGCCGACTGGCAGCCATTTTGTTTTAAAGAATTCAGTTCTGGATCCGTATCGGAGACGTGCCTGGATTGATAGAGTTCAAACTTCACACACACAAGGTACATCATGTCACAAATAGATATGTGCATTTGTTTCATGATCCGCTTAACAATAGCTGAATGATGGCCATTTTAAGGCCGAAAATGCATCAAAATCACGTATTTTCACAATTTCGGAACCGAATCTCAGTCATGCATGGATGGATTTTGTTCAGATTTAGTACAATGTGTTGTACATATGTAGGTGCATTTCGGAGTTCACAATTTAAACTAAAACAAGAAGGTTCCTTTTGGTTAAGTGTTGTGCTGATAGTACCATAGATGTGTCTCTGTCATTTATGTAAGCGTATGCGCTAATAATAGAGAAAGTACAGTATTCTTTTACACAATACACACCTTAATAATCTTAATGAGTTAACTGCTATTTTCATTTTTTTCTATTCTAGATTACTTAAAAAATACTGACCAATTCTGCCATTTTCCAATAAGGGACCAAAGCTTATTTTCTCTGGATACTGTATGTATTTCTTACGTCTATGTACTGAGTATGGACTGTATAGATTGGGAAGGAGCAGTAGCACTTCAGCCGTTTGCACACCAAGTCGCGGGACACTGTAGCATGATGAAATTTGACGACCAGACTATATGTAAACCATTGATATCAAGAGAATATAATTTTTATGAATCGCTACCCAACGATATAAGTCAATTTACTCCGCAATACAGAGGTACGTCAGTATTTACATATAATTCTCTTAGGTGATGAACCTGTAACCTTTACTGTGTTGTTGTTATTGACCTTGATTCGAATCTCTGTTTGGGTCAAACTGTCTTGTATATCAATGGGTATTTGTGAATATGTTACTGCCTGCAAACAAAAAATAGTTCATAAATATCTACCAATTCATTCCTAAAATAAGTCAGATGAACATTAACCTATACAAGGCAAGTTTATTTGTATGATATTACTATTGATCATGGACACAACAGTGCAAACGAACTTAGTACATTCCTATTCAATGGAAGCATGATGTAATCATTGAGTTGCCCAGTGTTGACTATATATAGAATTGAATAAGAGTGTTTACCATTCTTACTGGCCCCTCCTGCAGTGACCTGCATGTTCAGATATGTAACTTGTTAGTAGAGTTCTATAAATACAACCAGGGCTTAACTCACATAAATTACTTTTTAGCTCCGCTGTCGACTTTGTCGAGCGGAGCTTATCATATGAGTGATTGTCCGTCGTCGTCGTCCGTCGTCGTCCGTGTCAATGTTTTAC